TTCTCCAGACACACTACAGCAAAAGATAGAAATAACTGACTTAAAACCATTTCATCTGCTGAGAATACTAGTGTTGGCCAGCACTATATATATATATGAAGCTTATACACACAGTCAGGTTTAGTCAGTAACTGTCAGTCCAGGCAGGAGTTTCTGTTAAATGCGCAGTTGCCATGTTCAGACATATTTCTGTAATATTGTAAGGAAGGAGACGCGAGCGTGGCCAGAGCAGACACACAGAGGAGGACAGGAATGTGTTCTTACGCAATGAACGCGTGTGAGCTCCAGACGCGTCGCGTTTACTCCGGTGGGCGGGGCTCGGGGCGCTGCGTCCAGCCAATCCCCGCGCCGCTGATCTCCCCCCCCCCTCTCTCTCTCTCTCTCTCACACAACTGCTGGAGTCTCGCAGAAGAAGCGCGAGCGCGGAGGATGAGGAGGATGAGGATGAGGATGGATGCTATACCGTGTCGTCTCGTGCTTTTAGCCCTGTTCTTTGGAGCCAGGATCCAGCACACAGAAGGTACGAGCAGCTGTGTGTGTGTGTGTGTGTGTGTGTGTGTGTGTGTGTGTGTGTGTGTGTGTACGCCGCTCGTCTGGCGCCAGAGGAGGGCTGCTCTTTGTTTGCAAGCAGCTGCAGCCCCAAAGAGTGTTTCTGCAAAGATGGCGCAGGCCAGAGTGCACCAGTGACATCATATAACCGCCGGAGCCGATCTAGATTCCTGTGTTTGCACACGAGCCTCAGACCCGTCACACTGAAGGTGTTTCCACAGCATCCACACCATGACTTAGCGTCAGGTTCACTTCTAAAGGAGCCTTGTCTCAGTTTGGGCTGAAGACTCAATCCAAAAACACCCAGATTATTCAGATACTTGACAAATAAGTAAATAATTTGACAAAAGGTTTTGAGTTGAAATATTTTATTAGCTCGTTAGATGCAAAATAGTTCTTAGCAAGCGACTTTTAGCCAAATAAATGAACAAGTTCAAACAAGATGGACATAATTAGTAATAATATACAGCCATACCATGACTTTACCCAATAAATAACGTGACATGCACTTTTGAGTGCACTTTTTGCACTTTTTGCAAAAAGTGTTTTATGAAATTGAAAACCGAGTCAAAGGCTGAGAATTAGTGTCTGGTTCTGCAGATTTGGTGTGTGCTTCTGCTGTCTGAGTGTCAGCTTTCAGAAACTGTGATTTTGTGTGTAAGCAGTTGAACAAAACTGTAAGAAGCCTCTTAGGATGAAGGGATGAAACTGGAGGACAGAGGAGTATATCATTTACTGCTCACTCCAAAGAACCATCAGGTGCACTTTAGCTGTCTGCCATCATGTTGTGGGAATATTGTTAATTAGGAAATTCTTAATAATCTTAAAGCAAGAAACACTTTGAATCTTCATAAAGTGGCTTGATGATCACAGTGTTGCTCTGAAATATTTACAATTGAAATATGAAGTCAGAGCAGGACGTATTGAACAGCCCATTCTTTGTGTGTGCAAGTGTGTGTCTGTGTGTGCACGTGTGTGTGTGAGTGTGTGTGTGTGTGTGTGTGTGCACACGTGCGTGCGTGCGAGTGTGTCTCTGTGTGTGAGTGTGTGCGCGCGCGTGTGTGTGTGTGTGTGTGTGTGAGTGTGTCTCTGTGTGTGAGTCTCTCTGTGTGTGTGTGTGTGAGAGAGAGAGAGTGTGTGTGTGTGTGTCTGTGTGTCTCTGTGTGTGTGTGTGTGTGTGTGTGTGTGTCTGTGTGTGTGAGAGTGTGAGTGTGTATGTGTGTGAGTGTGTGTGTGAGTCTCTCTGTGTGTGTGTGAGTGTGTGTGTCTCTGTGTGTGAGAGAGAGTGTGTGTGTGTGTGTGTGTGTCTCTCTGTGTGTGAGTCTCTCTGTGTGTGTGTGTGTGTGTGTGTGTGTGTGTGTCTGTGTGTGTGAGTGTGTGTGTGTGTGTGTGTGTGTGAGTGTGGCTCTGTGTGTGTGTGTGTGTGTGTG